GTCTTGGACGGTGCCATTCCCATAGCTTCGAGGATATCCAACGAAAGATTGTTATGACAAGTTTTAAAGATGAAGTCTTCGCTGACCTGGTCTCGACAATTCATCACTTTGTTCCGCAATCTTTTAACGAAGTTTTTGACTGACTCTCTATTTTTCTGTTTCTCATCGAATAGTGTTTCGATTAAAATCTCGGTGTCGTCATCGAAAAAGTTTGTAAGGAACATGTCTTCCATATCATCCCAAATGTTGATACTCTCCGGCTTAAGATGACGATACCAATCGAAGGCAGCTCCGTGAAGAGTGCCAACGAATGACCATACCATCAAAGGCTCATTGCTGGAGATATTCCCAAATGAGACTTGAAGTATATTAAGTGCTGAGTGGGGGAACCTTTTCCATCAAACGGTGTGAAGTTGATCAAATTAAACTTTGTCAGGTATGGGATTGATTCCCACTCCTTCGGGTATGGACACGGTATTCCGGATTTCTTTACTTCCTGAGCACTCATCAACGCATTGATTTTGCTCTCCAAGTCCCTCATCTTCTTATCCTCGCTCGTATCTTTCTTTGAACGATCTTGGGGAGAAGCGACGTAATCTTTCTTCGTATTGTTATCATCTGAGGGACCACCCCTAGCATTGTTATTAATGGGATGGGCATCCATGTTGGTATTCTCGTCCACTTCCCGATCACTATCAACGTGGTTGGGATTATTACGACGGCTGGACTCTCCCTGCTGATTCGTCAGCGTCGCGATTTGTTGGTCATACATTTTCCCTCATCTGCTGCATAGCCATTTCCAATTCAAATTTAAAATTCTCTTTTTGCTTGGTTAGAGCGTCCTTGAGAATTTTAGCCATTTGCTCGGTGTTGATCATAAATGACTCGTAGGATTATCCTGCGCTCGATGCTATAACATCAGAAGTCATTGCTGAGCAAGCATCTAAAGTTTCGTCATTTAAGGGTAGTCCCTTTTGCATTCTCTGGTAATCCCTTCGTCTACTGGTCCCCGATCGTAATCGAGTTATTCGCTGGGATACTGCAGAAAACTGATCTAGACTAAAGTGTCGTGTTGACTTCCCACTACCGGTCATATTGACGGATACTTCTGGAAATTCATCATCTTGAGCGGCTGAATTCTTTCTACGGAAACGCCTTGGCTTAGACTTGGACGTTCTGGTAGAGATTCTTTCAAACATTGAAACCCTCTCTGGGGCCTTAGGGCAGCAATATTCTGACAATACCGCTTTGATTATCTTGGCACACGGATAGTGAGAGTCTGTTTCTCGAGTACTCCTTTTTCGAGACTTGTACGTACCCCCAGCCCGATAGTACAACTCATCGGTCTAATGACCGGAGCAACCCATCATGTGTTGGCATGACTCCTAAGGTGTAACATCGTTGTTAGATGAATACGTTTCCTTTTAGGGACATAACACTTTGTCAGCCTGTTCAAGAGTCACATGTTTAAATCCACGCTTTCATGAGCACAGGAACTCAATGGGCTCCTGGACTTCAACACGCAATCCCATGCGGTCAGTTACAGGGATTTTCCCGTTATGCGACCTCTTCCATTGCTTAGGAGGGTGATTACGAACCCCAGCCTGATAAATCGCTCGAAATTCGTTTAACAGGACCAAGCGCTCTTTGATTAGAGCTTTACCTCGATCATCGTGTGAAGGGCCAAGGCGATCTGTGATCTTTATCTTAAATCGGGATAAATCTACATTGTCGCGGGGCTCCACCGGAGGTGCGGGGTCAATTGGAGTAGAGGCGGAACTCGAGGGAATCAGAAAAACAGGTGCAGAATATCTCCTGTCTTGGCCTTGGGGCGGGTCAGACTTTGATGACCCACGGTTCGGAGGGTCAGACTTGAGTAACCCGCGGCTTGGAGGGTCAGACTTAAGTGACCCGCGGCTTGGAGGATCAGACTTTAGTGACCCGTGGCTGGGAGGGTCAGACTTGAGTGACCCGCGGCTGGAAGGGTCAGACTTGAGTGACCCATGTTTTTTGATGTTTTCGACCGCCGTCTTGAACTTTGGCCTCCATACTTTGTGCAGTCTTAGTGGCTTCTTTTCCACTTCTTCCTCCTGTAATTTTTTGACTTCTTGCACAAGAATTCTTGCATGCGCAAGCAATACGCGGCATTTTTGAATCCGCTCCTGAAGAGTTGAGCAGGTCCTTTTGACGCGGATCTATTCGTTCTTCGCTGGTTTGGAAGAGGAATTATTCGCTTGCTGTTGTAGCGGTTGGCGCCTTCTGGACTTGAGATCCGCTTCGTAGCGAATCCCATCAACTGGCTCCAAAGCCTTAACAAGTTGGTGCGCAAGTCGTTAGCGTTGCCTTTGGTGGGCCCTTTTTGATAGAATTGGAGCGCCTTCAGCGATTGACTCCTTGATGGAGGAAAAGTCCAGATCTACGGCTACAGCTTTGTTGGAGGCCGAAGGGGCGTTGTGAGGCTCGAGTGTAGCAGCGGTGAGGAGATCTTCTTCTTGGATCTTTGAACCCGAAGTCCAGCGAGCTTCCTTGGAGGAGGCCTTCCTACATCTGCGAGGAGAGGCGGATCTAGAGGAGGAGGACAAATACTCCTCGTACTTCTACTGGTCAAACTCATATTCGACCTCTTCTTCAACCAGGATGAGAATCCGAGGTTACGACACATCAACCTTCACAGAAAGGCTGTCGGCTCCCACTGTGGTCGCCAGCGTGTTTGGGTGGAAAGTCGATCTCATTGAAGAATTCATTACAACTTTAAATGTTATAATAAATTCAAGAAATTAACCTTTTTATAAGACTTTCAATCAACAATTTCAACGTTCTTTCAAACTACACACAATAGTAGTTCTAACTCCTATTGCTTGTGCGGGATTATTGCCGATGCCGGGGTTTATCCGTAGACTGCCTACGGATCAGATCCGGTTAGCAGAAGAATTGATAGAGCTCCTACTTTATAAAGGAAGTATTCACTTGAAGCACTAAAATCGACCAAGCCAAATCAGTAGCTCTTCTCGAGATTAAGACTAAGTCTAATCTCAAGGTACGGACGGGGGATACGGATTCAGATCATTCGAAAGCATTCCTCTTTATGCTGAAGTTTGCCGGGATCTGGTTAACCTTTGTTGAAATTTCATGCTCCCTTGACTCCTCAATCCAGCAACACTCGTCCTCTTGATAAAATTCCAGATCAATAAAATGGAGGCCTTAGGCTCATATTTATAGGGCTTTGGATGCTGGTATTCGGATGAGAATGAGAGATTTGTCCTTATCTTCAGTTAATAACGTCCTAACCACGTTTGTGGATGATATCAAGTCAGTTGGGAACCCCTGGAATAGATAAATCCTACGAAAACCGCTTAAAAACTGTCGAAAACATGTTTTGAGGTCGAACCTGCGTGACGGTCGCTAGTGACCCGCGTGGGCGTGGGTCACCCCTTGTGACCCGCACAGCGCCGGGTCCACCAATGGCGTGACCAAGCGAGGAAGGCAAGACCCGCGCCCCACCCGAGTTGAGACTATTTCTCTCTCTTTTTATATTTCGGTATTTCCCGACTTTCCCGGACCTGTATTCTCCACCTTTTTGCGTATTTGGTCGACTCATTGGCTTGTACGTTTCGTTGGGACCGACCGACGAACGCGTCGGTCACTTGGGGATGCCTGACCAGCGTGTTGATTGACGTGCGCAAGTTAACTGACGTGCGCAAGCTGACCGATATGCGCAAGTTGATTGATGTGCGCAAGTTGACTGACGTGTGCGAGCTGATCGACGTGCACAAGTTGATTGACGTGCGCGAGCCGACCGACGAGCGCGCGTTGACTGATGTGCGCGTGTTGATTAACGTGCGCAAGTTGACTGACGTGCGCGTCCGATCACTTGGCGTTGACTGACGTGCGCGTCCGATCACTTGGAGTTGACTGACGTGTGCAAACCGACTGACGTGCGCATCCGGTCACTTAGCGCTGACTGATAAGCATGACAGTCACTTGGAGCTGACCGACGTACGTGTCGGGTACTCGGATAATCCTTCTTGATTCGGATGATGACGTTCATCGTCTTCTTTTATTCTCGAGCTACGTGCGGGAACCTATGGGAAGTTTTAGACGCCTATAATCTCCTTTACAAATCTAAATTTTAAGATATTTTACAAATTAAAAAAATGATTGGAATTTCAATGTTTCGAGATTTCAATCAATGCCCATGTTTGGTTCAACTAGGATTTAGACACAAATGAGATAAGGACTTCCCTTTGATCCCCAAAATGGGTAGTAAGAAGTTCCACCATCATCTAGTACGAAGGATATAAGACTTTCTTTGACCATTATACCTTCCCATCTCATGCATTTCCAAAGCTAATTATATATCACAATACTAGAATATAATATGTTTAATTAGGGGTCATTTATAATTTTAGAATTTTTTTGGTATGCTATTTGTCAAGTTCTGAGGATATTTTGTATTTTTTGAAACTTTTAAATGGTCACTGTGAAGTATTCAATGGCTAGTAAAAGTTTTTTCGGTTTATTGTAATTTACAAAACTTTCAAGGGTTTTCGTAAATTCTTCAAGGTTGTTTGTGATTTTGGAAACTTCGAAGGTGTTGTTTATAAAATATTTTGGGAGTTGTCGGTAACATTTTGAAACTTTTAGCATAATAATGTTTTTTAATTTTGTAACTTTCATGGGGCTAGTTATAAAATTTTTAAATAGCTTCTCGTAAAAGTATCAAAAGGATATTAGTAATTTTTCAAACTTTCAAGGGGTAGGGGTTTGTTTATAAAATTTAGAGGGCTATTTATAAGTTTTAAATGTTTTAGAGATTTGTCATAAATTTTAGATTTTCTAAGATTAATTGTACTTTATGGGTTTTAATGGGTGCAATATATATATACATACATATATATATATATTATATTTTCTCTTTAAAAGAGGGAGTTCCAAAAAAAACTTTACCCTCCCCAAAATAGCCTTCCACCAAATTAAATTACCAAGTGAGTGTTTGGGTACTGATTTGTTTTTTCGATTTCCCTTTTTTTTCTCATTTATTTCCCCCCAAACCAACGCCATCCCCTTTTCTCCCCCCTCAACCCCTCGTCGTCGCCTCTCCGATTCGCTCATGAACTGATCTCTCCATCGCCATGGAAGAGATCTCCAATCTCTTAGACCTCTTCAAGGATCGCAGTCCCCCTCGCGATTTCGCTCACCGCTTCCGCTCCGCTCCGATCAAGTCCGGTCTCTTTCGATTCCTTGCGATCCTCGATTCCGAAGCCCGGCTAGGGTTGGAGTCGTGTAGCGCGTCTCAGATCGCTGCAGTCATCTTCGCCGCCAAATTGATCCTCGGCTCAGATCGCTGCAGTCATCTTCAGTCCTCTTATTTTGTTCTAATTTTGCCCTAATATGAACCTCGATCAGCAGAGCACCAAAGTCCTGAATCTGACTGTTCTTCAGAGGATTGATCCCCATGTGGAGGAGATCCTGATCACTGCTGCTCACGTTACTTTCTACGAATTCAACATTGAGCTCAATCAGTGGGTATGATTTTGATCATATTTGATGATTTTTTTTTGTTTTGTTTTTGTTTTCGTGATCTCTGATAGGGTTTTGGTGTGGATTTGTGACCTTAGAGTCGTAAGGATGTTGAGGGATCTTTGTTTGTTGTTAAAAGGTAACTAGATCTAAGGAATTTGAACTTCTTCGTTTGATTGCTTGAGGTATTTTTTTAATATTTTTTCAATTGTGATTTATGCAGAAACACGCAGCCGAGATTCCAGTTCATAGTTATGAACAGAAGGAACGCAGGTGTGTAATTTCCCCCCTTTTATTTGTTTGATTAATTTGATGTTTTGGCTACGGGTAAATGGAGGTTGATGTGTAAGCCAGTAGCAATAGTGGTAGGATGCGAGTAGATCGAACGGATTAAGGAGGTGAAAAGCACGGGTAGTCATATGTTATGTCTAATTCACATGGTCATGCTACTCTTTACTTTCAAAGAGTCTAATTGTGATGTTTGCCATTGACATTTATTGACTTCGTTAGCCTTTACACATGAAAGAAGCTATCTTGACTTTTAAGTATGCTTAGCTTCAGCAATCAGATCATAGAGCAGTCAAATATGTCATATTATGTTAAAAACATGAGGCACACCTGGTATAGCTGTTTTTGACAGATTGCAGCTGCAAATATATTTGTTGTTGATGAATTCTTGTATTATGGTGTCGCTAGAAGTAGTGTATCCAAATCACGGTTCTGTGGGGTTTCAAGTATGCGACAGGCCATGGCATGAATCCAAGCCATGGACATCTTCTCAAAACCTTAGTTGTTTGATGCATCAGATTGACAGCAGCTCATATATGCAACTTTACACATGAATAGAGGTGTAGGTACGTACATATTTTTAGCTGACTCATTTTGCGACACAGAAAATTTGGTGGAGGATATCTTAGGAGATTTTGAGTATGAAATCCAACCTCCATACTTGTTGTACCGGAATGCAGCTCAAGAAGTTAATGGTATATGGTTTTACAACCAACAAGAATGTGAAGCTGTTGCAGCTCTTTTCCAGAGGTCAGTACTTAGTGGTTCAAAAACTTACACCTCATGTACAACACATGCATTTCCAGTATCCTTTGTCATAAAATTTGATACTTAAATGATGTGCTAATAATTATATTGTTTTCGTATTGTTAAGAGCAAAGCTTCCATCATTTAGTGGACTTTTCAAAAGAATGTCTGTAACCGACAGATAACTTGGCAAAGCATCTAATCTCATAATCAAATCATGTTCTGTAAAGCATCTAATTTCGTACAATTTGTTCATGACATTTCTCACCTACATAACATGGCTTCATGTCTGAAGGCATCTGTGCGGTTTACATTCTCTTTAGTTAAAGGATTTACACCAGATGAAAATGTAGCAACTACCTATGGTGATTTCTCGATGGAGCCCGTGGAGGGAATGTGACGACAGCGATATTCTTGAAAACTCAACAGTCAGTATTAGATTGGGGCATTTTGTTAACATCTCCAGGACATAACGTATCTTAGATTCTTAGATTAATAATCAAATTGCCAAATCAACTTAGAAATTTTTGCTGTTGGATTCCACAAGATTTTGTCTCAATTTAATTTTAATTGAAAATTGGAAAACATAAGAAGGTATTTGGTTATTTTAGAAATTTTGGTTTTTCATCTATTGATGCTAATAATTTGATAATATTTATCTGAAACCGCTAAAACTGCCTTAAAGTCCATCTGTCAATACTAAATCGTGATTGTAAACCATTATCAATAGATTCAATACCAGGATTCCATTTTTGTAGTCTTTTTGGGAATGTTCGCTATAATGCATCTCTTAGTAATGTATATTGAACTGCTATAACAAGCTTAATACATTCTGAAAGAAGCTCTGTATTTCTGCATGAAAAAGTATACCAATGGATATTGAGACAGCATGAGGAAGGGTCAAGGGTGGCAGCCGCTGATATTGTCAATCACATTCAGGTACGACCTAGCTGATCATCTTAAACTTTGTGTTGTTGTGACTTGAGTTTTCCATTTCACTGCTCTTTATTTATTATTGCAATCTTTGCATATGGGCTAAATGTACATCTATTCAGAAGAAATATATGATTAGTGAATGTTATGCCCTTTCAAATATGAATAAAAACCATACATATGGGCTAAATGTACATCTATTCAGATGAAATATACGGTTAGTTCTCATATCTAAATTTTCGACAATTTTTTTGGCCAATACCTCTCATCTTTGTTGGTACTTGCTGCATTTTCACCTGGTGTGAATGTTATTAAATGTCTTAGTTCCCAAAAAATTCCTACTTTTTCGCATCTTTTCGTCCCTTGTCTGTCTCCTTTCTACACCCCACTCTCGACCACCATCATTGCACTGTCAGCATTGAATCCAGTGCCACCCTATTATGTCGTGACTGCATTTGCTTCCCCATACACTGCCTGCTGCCACTGCTGTTCCCAAAGCCATGACCATCACTAACTTTAAGTTGTAATCCTAATGTTGCACAATCACCACCATCATCTTCACCTAAACCATTATTGCCACCTCTACTATCTCTACCGCCTTTGCTACACACCATCACTACCTCTACTATTGCTGAACAAATACATTTTACTCTGGAAAAGACCTATGTTAAGAAGAGTCACATTTCTGATAATCTTTTGATGGACCCAATCACGATTGTGTAAAATGGCCATATTATATACTAAATGGGTATAACCGTATAATGCGGCATTACACAAACTTTGATGCTTGGGAATCAGGTTCCTGGTAATCTGATGTTAGATGGGACTGTAATGCATCATGCATACAAAATGCATCTAAAGATCTTTGGTGGATTGCTATTCCATTTATCTTTCACTACCATTTTTACAGAACTTGTAGTTTGATTAACTTGCCAAATAATTGGCTTGCACCTTTTCCTATTGCCATTCTCTAGAGGCGGAGCTTCCAACAGGAGGAATAATTTTCTACCCAAGCATGACCAATAGAATTTCGGTTCTTCCAATTAGATTTTTATTAGGTTTTTTTTAAACCCTTGGTTCCCATTGACCTCTTCACTACAAATTATCCGGAGCAGCATGGGGCCTTAAATCACTTGAGCAACAAGGTACATGTCATGCTTCCTCACAACAAATATACTTTCACAGAAAAGGTTGTTTCCCACTGTTATTGATGGTCACGATCCAATATTTAACTCTGCCTAATACTTAAGATCTCCTTTACTCTTGAGCTACATTTTTTTTCAATTATGTGAAAGGTTTTCGTTTTTTCCTTTTTCCTTTCTCCTTTCTTCCAATTACGTGAATGAGGTTTGCCTCCCCAACTCAACCTAACATTGGATGTGTGTAGAGGGTTACTCCAATGGACTGAATATTCCTAATGTGGATATGCATAAGGCTGGTCTCTGGATAATCCCTATGAGCTGAAGGGTATCAGAACCGGCATTTTTAAGGGAGGAATCATTGCAAACTCTATATCAAGCTTGTTCGGACATGAGCAATTTCCGAATGGCTAACCTCTTGGGAAGCTCGTAGCTCCAGTCATTATAAATGATAATAAAGCTTATATTCAACTGAAAGCATGCATAACTAAGTGCCACATGGAACACTATATGGAATAAACTGTCACACCGTATAAGTGATATGATGGGAGCGATCTCATGAATTAGTGGGAGCCTCCTTTAGACTCTATGAGGGTTGTCCCTAGAATCCACATTTACTGATGAAGTCTTAGTTTATCGAGAATGTCATATGCTAAAAAGAGATCGGATGGAAAACCCAAATGGACGGTGATACCCCCAAATTTAGTCCTACATTGGATATTGATTGAGTGATTGAATAGTTTAAATGATATGTCATGAGAGCCAAATGTAACATTGACTGATGAATATTTTGTTGTCCCACCCTGATCCTTAAGGATTTAGTTATCAATTTTGTTGCTAATCTTTTTTTTTTTAAACTATATATCTGATGCCACTCTTTGTTTTCCTGTCAATGACGTGAAACATCACTTTCATTTTTGCAGCGTTGTCATTCTTATCAGCCTACAAATAAATGTTATAGAGTGGGTGCATCTCAGAAAAGGTGTGCATTCTAGAACTCCTATATAGCGTGAAAGCACTGGCTTGCGAACCTTCTCCACCAAATATTTAATGGTCTTCATGATGTGTAATGCGAAACAGTAGCAACATGACATCATGGGAGGTAGATATTTAAATCATATTATAATCATTTCAAAGGTTGTCTTCATATGGTTACTATGCTTTTATATTTTATTTGCAGCTTTCTTCGCCTTTCATATCTGCGATTGCCTGTGTGTGCGCCTTGATTGAGTGGGTTGTTAAGAGAAGTGGGATATGTGTCTGCATGTTTGTTCTCTTGTGTTGCCTTAGTTCTTCAAAAATTTTAAAATATCATTGTACAAAGGTAACATTTTCTATTATTGAATTGTAAATTATTTATCATTAAATATCAAATTCTAATTATAACTATTATATATGCAGGGGAGATGTGCATGATATCGCAAATTGCATCGACAATTTTTATCAACCCTGAAATAGAACTTGCTAAAGACATGCGAGAATGGTAATTCAAATAAAAAAAATAACTTAATAAATTAAAATTTAAATATTTTTAAAATTATATGCAGGGCTCTTTCAAAAGACAAGATCAAGACTAATGGTGCTCCGTCAAGGCTATTTAAAACTGCAGCAAAAATGAATATTATTGACATTATGTAAGCTTCACAAAATTCATCAAAGGTATGATATTAAAAATCCTAATATAAAATATTAATGAATCAAGAGCTTCAGTTTCAAAACAATCTGATATAAATAGATCTTGTTTCATTTATGTTTCAAATACATTTACAATTATTACTTTTACATTAATTTTTAAAAATTTCTTTTTGGACTATATTTTTTTAAATTATTTTATAATTTCTTATTTTATTTACTAAATATATTTAAACTATATTTATAACAAACAAAATTTTTACAAATCTACAGGCACAATATGGCAGCTTTACTGGAAAAATAAGTAATATCTTAAATAGACATGAGGCTTGGTACTACTCATGCAAAGGCTGCAATAAAAAAGTAGACAAAACTATTTATGACAAATATATAAGATCTTAATTTTTTCCTCTTTAAAACAGAAAAAAAATCAGAGTTCATTCTTTCAAAAGTTTGTTCTCAACATCGGAAAGACATACAAGTTCCTTGTAAAGTTGGATGAGAAATCAAAGGATGAACGTGCACAAGGAAAGATAATAGCACAAGAAATACAAATCCAAGAAGACATCACAATCAACATTGATGATGATGATTCAGTTCTCGATTTACCAAAAAAGAAGATAAAGGTGGAGAAGGATTAATCAAAGGCCCACAAAAATTAAACATAAATGTTTTTTAGTTTTAATTACATTTACAAATTGATTGAAGGATTTCAAATGAACTTTTCATATGCTTTTAAGATTAGGAACTGATGAATTTAATTTGTTAGGACAATTTATGATTTATACGCATATGCTGATATAGTTGTTTGATAACTATTGCATGCTTTGATTGTTATTGCAATTATTAACTTAAATTTAACATTAAATTATGTGAATCTAAATACATATTTAGAGAATAGCTCACTTTATTACTTTAAATTTGCATGTCAACTATTTTTTACTTATCTATACTGCACATGAACTATTGTTGATGAGTCCTTTGCAAGAAATATGATGACCAAGCACAGCTTACTGAACATGTTGAGAGGAAAAAATAGCTTTCCATAGAGAATGTAGCTAATTTTACTAAATTGTTATTCTAATTTATTTCTTTTAGTAGCCTAAATTTATTTTTATCTGTTTTATGACATGGCTAGATTCTCAATGTTCTTAAAAGAATAATCAATGAAGATTGCCTACTACTAGATTTCATAAGGAAAGATGATCGTCCAAGGCCATGTAAAATTCAAGAACTTAAGATTTTTATTTTTCGTAAGAGTTTTGATGATTTATCAATGACTTTCTTTTCGTTTTCAGTATTATTTTGAGGACAGGTATGACTTGGTTCAGTCTGGCAGAATGCAGAGGGACAATTATCTTTTCTGAGACATGCTGTGTCTGCACCACCTGATGTATTTACATTTGCACATTGTTCAAGACACCTGGTAATTTTTGTTTAAATGTCATATAATTTGCTTTTTCTGCTACATCTGGCTATTGAGCTTTTATTTGTTAAATCAATTTTGTTAGACTATTGAGCTTTTTCATTTGAAGAGCCAAGTTTTTAGACACCTGGCTATTTTTGTTTAAATGTCATATAATTTGCTTTTCCTGCTACATCTGGCTATTGAGCTTTTATTTGTTAAATCAATTTTGTTAGGCTATTGAGCTTTTTCATTTGAAGAGCCAAGTTTTTGTGTTTATTTCCTTTAGAAGGTATATGATTGTTATAATCTAGCATGCAATCACACAGGTAAGCCTAAATCAGGCTGTTTTTTTTCTTTTTCTTTTTTTTAATATGCTAAGATTAGGCAAGTTATTTCTTTGTTATTTTCCTTGGAAAGGTTTGTTCACTAGATTAGGCATCAAGCATTTTGTACGAATGAAACACAGTCCCTCTGGGTCTTGAATGTGTGACTTTCTTATGTAGATGTGTATTTCTGCTCTTATCTAATTGATGAAGATTGTCTGCAATTATTTTTATCAAAAGACTATTTAAAAAAATCACATATAAAGTTTAACCATTATGAATGATTAGATGTGTGTTGTATGTAACCATATTTCTTCATCATATATATATCGTTTTTAGTTGCCAAACATGTTAGGTTTCTAAAAATATGAATTGTTGAATTTAATTTGAAGTTTAAGCTTTAGAAGGATATATGGTTAGTAATATATTTCTTATGTTTGTCTACAGCTAGAATGGACCTTATTAGTAGTTCCTTCTTTTTCGCCCCTAAAAGAAATCCAATTTTATCTATCCAGCAACTTAGGGTCATGCATGCTTAGTAACATTTTCTTGCTCTTTGTGGGACACGAGGCAATAATAGTTGGGAAAGTTATCAGCCATTTTACAATGCAGATTTGAATTTAGTCTCGATACATTGTTTGCTCACTAAAATCTGTATCTGTCAATTACTTGATGACGGCTTTAGCTTAGATATTGTGCTGCTATTCTAACCTTATAGCCTTCAGAATTCTTTTCTCTGTGTTTTTGTGATTATTATGTGTTAACATCTCAGAATCTGCTATGTATCAAAGTAATTCTATTTTCTGTGTGCAAGGTGATAAATTTAATCTGGATGTCTTCCTCTTTGTTTGCATGTCAATAAATCTGATCTGGATTTTATTCCTCTTTTCTATTCTTATTACTGTTTTTATGGACAGCATGTGGAGATTGTTTTGCCGATGGAGAAACAGAGAAGGTTGGAGCAGATTATTAGAACTCAAGAGCGTGGATCAAAGTTTATCATCTTCTGTTCGACAAAGAGACTCTGTGACCAGCTTGCTCACTATATGCGTGGTTATGGCGCTGCTGCTATTCACGGAGACAAGTCTCAGGGTGAAAGGGATTATGTCCTGAACCAGTTTCGTTGTGGCAAAGCACCGATTTTAGTAGCTACTGATGTTGCTGCCCGAGGGCTTGACATTAAAGATATCAGGTCAGCATTTATTCTCGACGATGCTGAATCATAAATCTATTTTGATAAAAGAAGAAAATGCTTAAATGGATTTTTATAAATTGGTGGAAGTCAGGTCTCTGGCTCGTTACAGTGCAATATATAGAAGCTCTAGGGCTATCTGAACTTTTTTATGTTCATTTTATTCGTTTATGCCCATTTTATTCATCCAAGCTAGGGTATGAGATTAATTGAAATGACCAGAAAGAAGTGACAGTTCAAAAGAAAAGACACAGTGTGACGGTTCTTTTTTGAGTTAATTTCACAAAATCCCTCTGTGCGTTGGGTGGTTTTGCACATACCTCTTAACTCTTTTTTATCTTTACATAAACCGCATGATCTTTGCGGTGTTTCACAAGACCCCCCTTGAATTTTCTCATAATCTGTTCCTATTAAGTTAAATATATTACATTTACATATGAAAGATAGATTTAAGTTTAGAAATTACACCTTGTAACCTGACAGTGCCGTCAGACAAGCATGCTGATATATGAATTTCATGACTATCCATAAACAATCTAGATGTAACTGGAAAGCAACCATCTTCTTGCTTAGAGGTTGACATAATTTTGTGAGTAAATGTGGTGAAGATGATGTACTTTGAAACATAGTGCATTGTGATTTTAGATGCATATGAAAGAAAATAAAACTTTCCATCAAAGCCATGCAATAATATGCTGTCATTATCTCTTGGTAGTACTATAACTAGGATAAAACAGGATAATTTTTAAAAGAAACATAGACTTGTACTATAATAATAATTTCAAAACAAACCAAAAAGTTACATACATAATAATAATAATAATTATTTCTAACAATATTTTTATAGCCTAACGAATAGTCATTGAATATAGTTAAATCTTATAGAAAATAATTACTAATTAGTTAGGATTTTTATTTCTTTATCATTTTTTATTAATGAGATGAGATCAGTTTTCATCAAGCCCATACTGTTAGGGGTATTTTGCTTGTATGCTACAATATGGCCCAAGTGTTACTGTAGGTAAGGGTTTCATACACATGCTTTCACTTGAGCTATACATTATTATAAAAGAAAAAGTCTCTTCCAAGTAAAAAACACCTTCAACTTGGCTCATCTTTATGCAACTGCATAAGAAACGATGATTTTGGAGAAGGATAGTCCTCTAAGAGATTCAAATTTCCTTTTTAAGTTTGTGGCGTTACTACATTTTTTTTGATTTATATATATGATTCTCTCAGCATGCCTCATTTGTCTTTTTGTGCCACTAAAATTTCATCTTAACAAATTCAATTCTGTAAAGACGTTAGCTGTTTTTATTCTAAGAAAGATTTACAATTAGTTTGATTGCAAAACTCTGTGAAAGTCTGAAATTTTCTGAATTCTTCCTTGTTTTCTTATCATTCTAGATTAATTTGAGAGGTCTCGATGGCATCCAAGTCCCCGTTTATGTGGGTACAAGATGTGTTTTCAATAGAACTGCTTTATATGGCTATGAGCCTCCTATCAAGAAGCGTAAGGCGGGTGGATTCTTCTCTTCATTGTGTGGTGGTTCTACGAAGAAAAGTTCAAAATCAAGCAAGAAAGGTTCAGACAAGAAAAGGTCAAGCAAGCATATTGACAATACTGTACCAATTTTCAATCTGGAAGACATAGAAGAGGGAGTTGAAGGTATGCTCATACCTATTTTATATTCATATAGCAATTTGGTGATTTTGAAGTTATGTGATACTGCTATTTGTTCCAATTTTAATGTGCTTCAAGCTTCTCTACTTTGTCTTGAGGAATGCATATTACTTATCTACTTTGCTGATTTGTTTAGGGTTTCTTCCTGAGGTTAACTCATCTTTTGGATATTTATAATTATAGGAGCTGGATTTGATGATGAGAAGTCACTGCTCATGTCGCAAGTGAGCTTGGAGAAAAGGTTTGGTCAGTCGACTGCCTTTGTTGCCTCTACACTAATGGAACATGGTGGTGTACCTCAATCAGCAACCCCTGAATCTCTTCTGAAAGAAGCTATTCATTGTAGGCGTCTAAAAATACCTATGGGTGTCCATACACGACTCGAGACAGAGAGAAGATGATAAACATCACTATTAGAGTCGCAGGAGCTCGTTTGACAATGACAAACACATGAAGTGAGTCGACGGGTCATACGAAGCAACGGAACTTCGGAATAACGGAAACGAGAGCTGATCGGGAGCCCCACGTCATTTACAAAAGGCGGAGCACCCCTCGTGTCCTATTTATTCCACATATGATTCAATCATGGAGCCTGTAGACTCCTCGTCGGCTTTCCAACGCATCTTGAATCGCCTCATTCCGAGGTCGGATGAGTGAGTTAAGGCTGTTACAGTACCCGTGGGTCGGAATTCTGCTACAGTAGCGGGTCGGAATTCTGCTACAGTAGCGGGTCGGAAAATCTGCTACAGTAGCGAGTCGGAAGTATGCTACAATAGCGGGTCGGAATTTTGCTACAGTGATTTGACCGCACAAAGAAGTGAAGTTTTGACTATGCTGCGATTTGAATCTGAAAAATCTCAAAACATAAAAGTTGTAGATCTCTTCGTTAGCTTTCCAACGCATCTTGAATCAGCCTAATCGGAGATCGTACGAAAGAGTTATGACCAAAATACCGCAGATATCTTAAACTGACCAGCGCTATAGTAACAGCGGGTCGGAATTTTCCGACCCGTGCTACAGTAACCGCGGGTCGGATTTTTCCTGCGCGCGCTGTTTCGACCCCAGTTCGGTTTTTGACGGTTTTTCTCGGGATTTGGTCGTTCCTGAGCATCCAAACTGACTTGATATCATCCCCTAGCATGGTTAATCAGTTATTAACTGAAGATAGAGCCAAATCACTTGTTCTCATCCAAATAACCGCTTCTGAAACTTATAAATACGAGCTCGGGTGCTCATTTCTGAGGGGCGATTGATTATCAAGACGAGGAGGTGCTGCCGGATTGTGGAGTCAAAGGAGCACGAATTTCAGCGAGGGTTGACAGATCTTGGCGAGTTCTTCAGCATAAAGAAGGAGAGTTCGAGAGATCCGACGCCCGTTCCCGTCCGTCCCTTGAGATTAGGCTTGGTCTTAATCTCGAGAAGAGCCCTGATTTCGCTTGGTCGATCTCAGCGCTTCAAATCAAATACTTCCTCGACGAAGTCGAAACTCTGTCGAATTTTCCATCAACCGGATCCAGATCTAAGGCGGTCCACGGATAAACCCCGTCACAGGCAAAGATCTCACGCAAGCAGAAGACCGATAAACGATATCTGCGTTTGTTTTGACGAGAGTTGTAACTTTTGTTTTCATTGTGTAAAGATCTTATAAAAAGATTATCTTTTTGTTTTCATTGTAACGACCGAAGTTGTAATGAATACCGCAATGAATACATTAATTCACAGTGGGAGCCAACAGCTTCGCTGCCGGAGCTGTCGTGTCGCAACCTCGGATCTGCATCCCGGTTGAAGAAGTGGTCGAATACGAGTTCGACCAACTGAAGTTCGAGGAATATCTGTCGTCTTCCTCCTCCAGATCCTCCGCCTCTCGCAAGCGAAGGAAGATCAACGCCCTCGTTGTTACGGTAGCTAAGCCTTACAACGCCCTTCCGGCCTCCAATGAGTCCGGATCTGCAGATCTGAACTCCTCCTCAATCAAGGAGTTGAGTACAGAAGGCGCGCCCATTTTATCGAAGAGAGCTCGGCAAAGGCAGCGCCAACGCTGTGCGCGACGCCTTGCGCGCCAACTCGCTAGGGCTTTGGAGTCAATTGACGGGATCCGTTACGAGACGGATCTAAAAATTAGGCAACGTCAAGCGCCCCAACAGCGGACAAATGCCCTCTCCTCCAAATCACCAACAAGTGAATGGATACAAGTCAAAAGGACCCGTTTAACTCTTGAAGAGTGGATCAAAAAGCGTCGCGTACTACTTGCGCGCGCGCGAATTCTTGCGCAAGAGGTCAAAAGATTGCAGAGGGAAGAAGTGGAAAAGAAGCCACCAAAACTGCACAAAGTTTGGAGGCCAAAGTACAAGACGGCGGCCGAAAAGATCGAAAAATGCAGGTCACTCAAATCCGACCCGCCAATCTGCAGGTCTTGCGCGCGCGCGAATTCTTGCGCAAGAGGTCAAAAGATTGCAGAGGGAAGAAGTGGAAAAGAAGCCACCAAAACTGCACAAAGTTTGGAGGCCAAAGTACAAGACAGCGACCGAAAAGATCGAAAAATGCAGGTCACTCAAATCCGACCCGCCCCGCCAATTTGCAGGTCACTTGGATCCGACCTTCCAAATCGCAGGTCACTTGTATCCGACCTTCCAAATCACAGGTCACTTGGATCCGACCTTCCACTTTGCAGGTCACTTGGATCCGACCTTTCAAATCGCAGGTCACTTGGATCCGACTTTCCACTTTGCGGGTCGTTTGGATCCGACCCTCCACTTCGCGGGTCTCTTGGATCCGACCTTCCAAATCGCGGGTCACCTGGATCCGACCCTCCAACCCGCGGGTCACTCAAATCTGACCAGCGCCAGGGTCGAGACATAAGACGTTCTGTACCGGTTACGTTGATCCCTTCGAGTTCCGCACCTCTGGTGGAGCCCCACGACAACATGGATTTGTCCCGATTCAAGGTGAGGATAGTTGATCGCCTGGGTCCTTTGCATGAGGATCGAGGCAAAGTTCTGAGCAAAGAACGTTTGGGCCCGGTGACTGAACCCCGA